GAAAACGGAAATTCATATATCTGCTTGACTGGTTATCTATCAGTAATATAGCACAAAATATTGTGCTTTCGAATGTAAAGCTTAATTGTGGAAATAAAAATTGAACTGCATTTATTGCTTGTCTATCTGACAAAGAATATAATTCAAAATGATTATGTTGAGCATTGATTTAATTTTTATTGATGTATCAATCTATTTGAACATACAATTATAAATAATAAAATTAGTATTCCGTTAACGATATGATTATTATTTTTTAATACAATTGGATAAATACTGTTTAGCTAGTATTGATCCGTGATTATAAATAATTCAGTACTTAAAGAAAAATATTGATTTTATTATTTATCATATTATTGTTTCACATTCCTTCATAGTCAATCATGCATTTATTCATATATAAATATTTTTCATAAGCCGACGATATGTTACGCATGAATCACAATATCAATGTTTAATATAAACATTCTATCAAATACAGATATATTATAACTGATTACAAATCTTAGCCTAGAAACTTTTAACTCGTATTGTTGTATGTCTTATTTCGATATAATGTATTATTACTGATGTTACTTGATTGTAAAAAGTCAAGTTTTCTTTTTCAATTTCAAGTATCGTTTTATTAGTAATAAAAAATGCGTGAAAAGCAACAAGTAGGTCTAATTCCATTTTTTTATTTATAAAATCCATTCTAAATAAATAAAGTTAATCGATGAGCAGCATTCTGCAACTAAAGTGAATCATCTAACATTTTACAATTAGTAGTTCAACGAAATATAAATGTTGACGAAAATCACGAGAAAAATATATCATTATTATAAATTCACTTTATTTTTTTCACACTTCTCACTGTGTGTGTTTTTTTACTTGTTATTCTTTCTTTTTTTTCATATTTCACTTATCAATTTACAAAAAAAAAACGAATCACAGCGACCACACATAATTATATATATATCTAGAAAAAAACATCGCGCATGAACAATCAACTGCAAGATAAATCAAGGAAACCAAAAAATTATCTTACACATATACAGAACAGAAAATAGAACCGGACAAAAAAAAACAACTAAGGCAATCGTAAATAATAAACAAAAGAAAGACTACATATAAGAAAAGAAAAAAAATAAAGTTATTACTGAAGTTCTTTTGAAGCTAATTGAATACATTCGTCAGGTAATCGTTCAGGTGCTAAAATAACAAAAAAATAATAATATTGAAAAAATCTTAAATAAAATTTACATGTAATTAATGATGTTTCTCGTCCCATATCCATAACAGCTTGTGAAGCAGCTTGTCGTAATTGTACAAGACTAAGTGAACTAGTTTTCCAATCATTTAATGAACGTATAAATTCATCAGTTGAATCACATGTAACTGTATTTTGAAATGAATCAAATATACGTTTTAATACAAGTGAATAAGGATAAAAACGCCAATTTTTTCTTGTTCGATCAGCAACATATGAATGAAATAATGCATATGAAGCTTCACGTGAACGTCTTGCTGGTACAAATGGCATACCATCAACAGGTAAACTTGCTTGATATTGTGAAACTTTTTGTTGTAATTGTTCTTTTTCTTGTTGTAATAAATCAACTTCTTCTTTCATTTTATCACGTATTTCACTAGTTTGTTGAATATGTAATGCAGCTAAAAGAATTAATAAAAAACGAAATATCGAAAAAACAAAAATACTTACTACATTCAAGCATTTGAGCTTTACTTATTTTTGCATTCGATGGATCACTTAATTCAGGAATAAGAAAACGAAGATTTTCGAAACCATTCTAAACATATATCAATAAAAGAATAATTTTATATATGTATATGTAAAATTACTTTTATATTTCGACGACGTTTACTTTCAGCATTTTGTCCAGAACTTGAAGTTGATGATGGAGAAGAATCAAGTGGCTAAAAAAACATGAAATAGTTAGTTTTCCAATAAATTCAATGAATATGCTATATTACCCCATTTCCGTTTAGGAATGTTATATCACTACATGTTGATCCACTTTGTTTAATTGACATTGAAGGTGAAGATAGAATAAATTGTTTTGGTGGAAGTGGTAAAGGTATTTCTTCGGAAGTTAATCGAGATCCTGTACGTTGTATTTTATTATTTCTAGGTAAAGGAGAATTTAATAATGATCCATTTGATTCTATTAGATTCTAAAAAAAATTAAATGATATAATAAAAATATTTAAATAATTAATTAAAATTATATTTACTTGAATATTACTATTAGTATTATTTACAGATAATTGTTTCATTTGTATTTGAGATTTTCGAGGTTTTTTAGGTTGTTTTACTATAGAATTTTGTTTTCGTTGACGAGTTGACATGGATGATGAAGTATTTATTATGGGTGGAGGTGGAGTACGTCTCTGTTTAAGAAGATCAACAAGAGTTGATGATGGTGGTTTATTTATGGATAAATCAGCTTTTTGTTGTTGTTGTTGGCGTACACCACTCGATGCATAAAGTAAAGTTGGTTGTGAAGTAGTAGTTAATATTACATTTGATGATGGTGCTTTCGATATATTTGTAATCGACGTCATTTGTTCAATATTCTAAAGCGAATAAAAACTTGAATATTAATAGAGAAAAAAATAATCGAATGATTTACATTAGAATTTGATGTATTGTTATTATTATTCGCTATATAAGTAGTGAATGATCGTTGTGATGTTAATGGTTGATAATGTACATTATTATACATACTCATTGTATTCATATTATTAACATTTAATTGAACATTATTCTATTTAAAAACAAAAACGAAAATAAAATTAACTATTTCGTTTTTTTTGGTTTATGAAATGTATTTACATTAGAATTATTATTATTATTATTGTGATTTAAAATATTTTTTTGTTGTTGAATAGTTAAGCGTGGTCGTTCAGTAGCAACAGAAACTAATGTTTGAAAATTACTTAAATCTTGTTGAGATTGTGACGGTATATCTAATGTAAAATCAGATTGAGGTTGATAAGTATTTAATACTGAGAGCTAAAATAAAAAAAAATAGACTAACAAACATAAAAAGAATTCTATCTTACAGAATCATTATTGCATCGTAGATTAAAATCTTCATCTAAATAAAGTTTGACATTTTTCCAAATCAAAATTATAAAATAATCATGTTCACTTACTTGTTAATGATGAATCAAATCCATCAAATAATGTATTAAAATCAAAATGATATTGCCCCATAACAGGTTGATGCAAATCTGGATTTCCACCAAGTGCTATTTATACAAAAAAAACAATATTTAGTTTTAATCTCGAATTAAATGATAAACAGAGGTAAAAAATAAAGGAAATAAAGCTTTATATCACATAACCACAAAAGAAAATATAAAAGCGATTAGGTTGTGTTGTTTTTTTTTAATATATCCGAGTGTATAGACACGTAAATAATTGGTTAAATCGACTAGCGAAAAAACGCGAGCGTTCACAAAAATAAAAACAACAGTTTATAGAGCCACACATTTGTATATAACCATTTACCTGAGAATGGATAGTCTATAATCGAATAAGCACAAGAAAAAGAATATAAAAATAATAATTTGAAATAGTTATTTTATCTATCACCACAATCAAATTTTTTTCAAAATCAATTCTTTTTTTTTATGAAAACATACCTGCATCTTTATCATTAAATGCATTTGTCGTTGAAAAAAGTAATTGATTTTCAATTAAATCAAAATCATCAAATAAACTAAATGTTTCAGGTGGTGGTGTTGCAATACGACGGAAATTTACATTGATTTTAGGTGTATAAGTTTCACTAACATTACTCAAAAGAAGTTTCACTTCATCGCTCTAAATAGAAATTCAAATAAAGCATTAGTTGAAGATCTTAATTATAGAATATTCTGTACATACAGATATATCAATGTCTAATCGACGAAATGTTGTTTTAGAATTTTGTCTCCATTTAATATATTCTCCTTTTAAACTATTTATCATATGTTGTTTTGATTGTTGATTGACTTGAGTCTATAAATGAGAAAGAAAATGTAATATTAAAATAATTTATTTAATAAATACTGGTAATGCTTGAACATCAAGTGGAGATACAAATTGACAAACAAGTGATTTTATTCTTCGAATATCTAAATTTTAAAATAAAAAGTAATTTCAAATAAATTATATTATATTATACATTGTTGATGCCATGTTCTCCATATAACATTATTTAAACGTATTTTATCTTGACATTCAATACGTGATCCACGAAAATTTTTCCATTTTGGTGAAGTTAAATTTGTTCTAAAGATTTTCTATATGAAATTAAAACTATTATAAATAAATTTAAATCTAACCTATAGACAGTATTAATAACACGTAAAAGAGAAACAAGACTAGCAAATCCACCCTTGAATTCAGGACGACGTTCTGTTTCACCTTGTGTTGTATCACTAACAATAGGTAAGCCTTGAGAAGTTAATGGATCATTGGGATTTGGTATTGGTGACGGACACGGTACATCATTTGGCTAAATTATTTAAATAATAATAAAAAAAACTACAAATTATTCATATTTTACTTCATCATCATCAAGTCTTGAGGTCATAAATTGTCCGGAGAGAAGAGCTTGATCATCTTCATTTCTATGATTATTTGAACGTGTAGTTTGCTCAAATTTGGCTTTTTTTGCCGGTCGAGCCATTAAAATGATGAATAAAAATAATTGATGAACGTTTTTGTTGTTGTTAATATTTTTCTTTTATAATTTAAATTAAAACAGCAACGAGGGATACGTAACGTAATACGCCTACCTACCACTATAACTTCCTTGAAAAGATTAGCTTATCACATGGCCATTTCGTAATCAATAACGATTCTAGCGACATCAATCATGTTGACTACAATCGTTCTTGTATTCGACCAATAAAATCATTTTGTCTGAATCATCATTTGTCAAATAAGAATCAGAGAAGCAAACAAAATATTTTCTATGACTATTTGACTTTCTAGTGAAAAAGAGATGACTCCTATTTATTTTGTTAGTTTTCTAATTATATCAGTTGTGAATGCTGATGTTTATTTACATTTTCCACCCGGTTCAAATAATCGAGTTAATGAACAAACAGCAAATCGTCAAAATGCTCAAAATGCATTCGATTCTCAAAATAATAATAAAGGTGGTTATAATGTTCCTGATGCAACTAGTACAGCATATGGTACAAATGCTTCACTTCAATATTATCTTGTAAGTTGAAAATACGTACATAATAAAATGAAAATTACAAAGTTTTTTTCACTCACAATTCTGTGAAATAATTAGGATCAAATGTACCGATATATGTAAACATTCTAAAATGATGAGTAATTGTTTTTATCTTTTCTGACTCATTTATTATTGAAAATCACGAGATTACCTATGAAATGAAAAGGTTTGTAAATAATATGATGATTCATTAACAACGATAGGTGAAAGTAGAAGATAACGTATACATATGCCTTAGAAATATATCAAAAGAATTTAATGAATGTATCTTATCAATAAAATATTCTTATGTATACAGATGTAAAATAGATTGAGATAACTTTAGTTCATATTTAAAACTTATTCGTTAAATTATGACGAGAATTTTCTACTTCAAGTATGATACTACTTGAAAGACTAAAACAAAATGTCTCTTTCTAGCGTATAATTATAATTTATTCTCCAATTCTTCTAAATAGAAATTCTTTCAAAGTGGACAAACCGGTAAGACAACACTACGTTTTGTTTGGACAAATCAACATGGTTGTGGTGGTAATGAAGAAACGAATCCAACAAAACAAACATGTGATATTTTTCTGCAATACATGTGTCAAGATGATGATATTGATGAAAATAATCTTGGTAGAATAAATATTTCTTTTTTGTTTTTCGAAAAAGAAATAATAAAATAATTTTAATTTGCAGATAAATTTCGTAATGGAGTTGTGACAACATCACAAACATATACACCAAATCCAACATCTGATCAAGCTGGTAAATTAGCTGATGTTAACACAACACGTCGACTTCATGAATCATGGGATTATTATAATCGATGTTATAATCGTGAACGAAATAAAGGTATAATTCATAATTTTTGACTAAATTCTTTCATCAGTTCAATTGTTTTTGTTCAGGTCTTTTTACAGCTGATCAAAATTTAAAAGGTAATACAGCTATTTATACTCGACAAGATGCAGCAGGTACCAAATATGGTTATGAATGTCCCGAAGAACGAGATTACTGGCCATATATTAGTCCATGGAATGATATTGCTATCTTAACAAGTAATATCAGCATGTGCAGGTAAAATAATTCAATTTGTTAGTTGTTTTTCTTTAGGAAGTAAATTATTTTTCTTTTTAGTTATTATAAAAACGAAAGTTTCAATGTCAAACCACGATATGAATGTATTGAAACAAAAAATAATGTACGAACATCAACAAAATATAATAACCAAGTAAATTGTACAGCAAATGGTGGAAAATGGTTATTAGTATATTCTTATTTAGAAAAAGCTACTAGTAGGAAGATATTTTTCTATATAACAAATCAAATAAAATCTTTTCTTTTAGCATTAACAACACAATCATCATGTGAAGGAGCTTCATCATCTCAATATCAATATAAATGGGCACGTATGTATAATCCATACTTATTGGTTTTAATATATAAATCTATTTCTTTAAGTTCCTCATGATACAACTACTGTTCAAGAAGAATGTCTTATTCTTCAGTCTCAACAAGGTCCATCATGTCTTCAAGCAGATTGGTCACGGTCGAATTATCTTGGATTGGATTCCGAAGCTGAACCATTATCATATGATTGGATTCTTCCAAGTTTTCCATCGAATAAAATTAAACGATGTATAGCTCGGATTCGTTATAATATATCAACATATGATTATGATTTATATAATATAAATGCAAGCAGTAATGGGTAATTAAATTTCAATTTATTTCAAAATAAAATTAAAAAAACTATCTTTTTTATTTAGAAATAAATCACCGATAAAAAATGATCCTATTCTTACTGTTGATAATGGTATTCAATTACAAATTAATTTAAATACTGATCAAACTGGTCGAACATTTCAAGATCGAACACATATTTTTCAGATATTACCAAGACCAAGTATAATGTTTAATTCCTGTTTTTTCTTTCTTTCTTAATGAATATATTTAGGTGGTGTTAATGATAATGAAAATATTTATAATTGGAATATGTTAGGTAAACGTGGAAATATTGTTCAAACATATCCAGCTGTTGAATATGATTTTACACCAAGAAATCTTCAAATAAATCGAAATGATCTTATTCATATACAATGGACAGGTAGAATATTGACACTATTTATAATTATTATTCAAGATTTTTAATATAGGTTCAAATACACATAACAATGTAGGTGGTTCTGATGGACAAGCAGGTGATGATGGCCAAGGAACAACAGGTTTATAATATAGAAAATTAAGAAATATTTTAATATTTGTATACATTTTTATAGGAACTGATCGATCAAATCTTGTAGAAATTCGAGCTCGTGATGAAAATTATCCATATCCATATGAACAAACAACATTTTGGAAGAATGTTAAAGTTCGTTGGAGTCCTATGGAAAAATTCAATACTAATATTCTTCAAGAGGATCTTGCTCTTTATTTTGCATCGACTGGTTACTATCGGTTTGTTATTTTATTACTTAAGAAAAACAAACAGAATAAAAACTTTTCGAAATTATTTATTATAGTTGTCAACGTTCAGTTGATTGTACAGGAGCCGATAATCCATATACATTAGAAACTCAAACAACAAAACTAGATGGTCTTCTTAATGTAGCTTCAGCTTCATTTGAAGGTTTGTAAAATAATAATGATAATAATAATAATTAATAATTTGTTGTTTTATTTAAGGTGCACTTTTACAAATCAATGCAGGTACATATTATATGATGTGTACAAGAAATAATAATTTTAGTAATCGAGCACAAAAAGGAACATTAATTGTAATATAAAATTTATTCGTCATTAATATTTAACTATGCTTTTTTTCTCATCTTTTATACAACGAGAGTTTTTTTTTATTTTGTTTTCTATATAATTATGTTACTTGATATACATGATTTTGAATAAAAATCAATAAAATTTCTTTCATAAATAACTTATTTATAAGTAGTAACGTAACCAGAATTTTAACAGCGGTTGAACGAAAAGGCCCTGCGATTGGGTGGCGCCTAACCCTAGCTACGCCACTATTTATACGATTCGACTGAGAAGCATTTTGATTTTGAAGTGTAATTGAACGATTAATTGTGAAGCTTCTTTTTATATACTAACCTATTCAATTGAAACTAAATGTATGTTATAAATAATTTAGAAATTGAACACTATCAAATTTAATGAGTACAAGAAGTACTATAAAAAATAAAATGTCAAGTCATACTAAATTATAAGAGGATGAGATAATATGATTTTCCATTAAGAAATATTTTAATAAGAACACGATTCTTGTCAGCAATAGATATTATTAATCGTAATAAAATAGTTTGTTATATTATGATCACGAATTGAACTACTTGCAACTCTAATGATGTCATTTAGAAAAAAAAAGACCAATCTTCTTTCATTCTTTATATTTCAAATCCACCGACAAATGCGTAAAAATACGTTTGTAAATAGTAAACTTCTATCTTCAATGTTTACTTAAGAATGAAAAGCGTACTCACACTTAACACTCTATCTCTTATTTCTGTTACTCATAACAAAAGATTATATAAAATATATGTGTAAGTATGCAACGAAAAGTCTACGAATTACATCTCTAGGTGTGTAAAAAAGAAATAATGTCAATCTATCACATTAACTTATTTACACAAAATATAAATAATAAGACATAGAATTTTTGTTCAAGATGTTGTATATATATATATACATACATATTCAAAAAACGTGCAATCATTGGTTGAAAAACTTTTATCTTTCTATTGATTGAATGAATAGAAGCAGAAAAAATCTTTTCATATAGTTTCTTTTTTTATTTGAAAGAAGAAGAAAAAAAAAGATGTGAACCAAAAGAAAAAGAAAACATTGAAGTTTTATAGATTGGAAAGTAAAAATAAAGAAAATTAATTTGAATTTGATGATGTTGCATGTTCTTCATCAACATTGTCTTCGACATCAATATCATCATCATCATCTTCATCATCACTTTGTTGTGGTGATGAACATGATTTATCCATATCCTTAAAAGAAAACAAGATTAGTTTTTATTTTATTGAAATATAAAATTCGCTTACTTTTTTTGTAACTGTTGCAGCTGATCGACGATGTTTTGCACGTCGATTTTGAAACCATGTTTTTATCTATGAAAAAAAAACAAAAAATATTTCATTTTATTTCTTAATCAATAAATAACTAATTCTTACTTGTCTTTCACTTAATTGAAGTGTTTTAGCAATTTGTTTTCGTTCAACAGGTGATAAATATTGACTGATTTCAAATTTTTTTTCTAATTGTAAACTTTGTTCGGCTGAAAATCTTATTTGACCTCCTTTACGACGTGAAACATTTGCTGTTGCTGTTGGATTACATCGTGTATATAAATATGGCCAATATGCAGCAGCTGCAGCAGCAGCAGCGGCTGTTGTCGGTGGTACTGAATGATGTGATGATAGACAATCTTTATTGACAAAATAAACTTTATTATTTATTCTTTAACACAAATTAAGTCGATGAGCACTTAACACTCCTATCACTTATTCAATGGATTATCGTTTTTTCTCTCTTCTAACATAACTATGATGATCAGCTCATATATTATTGATATTTCTTGTCAATAAGATTTGTATTTTTTAGAGAGAGAAAAAAAAAGGTACATATCAGTACACTTGTTGATAGATCATTAGTTGTTATATTACTTTTTATCACCCTCATAGAATAACAACAGTATGAAATAGAGTGAGAGTCGAATGGCAAGTTCAAGTGCATCATAATTGTATTTTTATCAATGATATATATATATATGTATATATGTCGAGAGAAGATAGTGAAATAATTCTCATAACAAAATTAAGAATTATAGCCTTGAAATTCAAGCCAATGATTATCTCTAATTTATAAGTTAACATATGTATTTATTTCCTTTTGAGTTATCTATATTTGAACATACCTTTCCGGTCGATATGTTGATGTTGGATTTTGTCTTTAATTGATAATGGTGAAAGTGTATGTTGATAATTATTTTTATTTGCTGATGTTGTTAAAATTGAAGTAGGATCATGCTGAAGTTTTGTTGTTGGAGAATGTCGAGATATTGATAGATATGGATGATATTGATGTCGATGATGAAGATGTTTTTGTGGTGAAATTAAATTTGGTATTGGTGGTGAAATATCATTTGATGATGATGATGATGATGTTGTTGTTGCAACTGATAAGAGTTCAGGTGAATAAGCCAAAAGTTGAGCAGCAAATGATGACCAAAGTGCTGTTGGATCAGTAAATGTTGGTGATATTGATGTTGGTGTTTTTAAAATATCATCAATACGAAATGATGATAATGGATGAGGATGAGAATTTCGATATGGTAAAAAAGATGGTGTATACACAGAGCAATTCATTGTCTGGTCTTATCTTTTTCACGTACTTTTGATATATATATTATATATATTATATATATATATTATAATGAAAATAGACAGCAACAAAGAAGAAAAAAAAGAAGAAGTGAAGTCGAGATAATATCTCGTAAAAGAATTGTTGTTGAAAAGGTGTATGGTGTGCAACAAATGAATAGGCCAATACGAGTACGAGAAAGCGTTTGTGTGTATCGGTATATAGTAGAGAGATGTTTGCTCTCGATCTACTCACACTAATGTCGTTGTATTTGCAACGTAAAGAGTGAGTGAGTGAGAGAAAATAAAATATTTTATTTGCCTCGTAATAGAGAAAGGTGATGATGAGAAGAAGAGAAGCGTATATATTAGTAAGAGAGGACATTGATACTTGTGAGTTCAAGCTTGAATTTGATTGAATGAATAGAAGAGAGAGAGAGAAATCGAGGAAAAAAATCCGATTGGATATGATCATCTTTATATGACAGAGAAGGACGAACGAACGAACGAGCGAAGTATGTGTTAAATGACAAGAGATCTATATAGAATATATGTTGTTATTAAAGTAAATTTCGAAAGGATATGTCAATTTTGTCTTATAATTGAAAAAAACTTTTTTGATATATATTTTTATTAGAATAAAAATAAATATTTTTTTATAGATTTTTTTCATTGAGACTTTGAATCAATACAAATGTAAATTGATCTTTATATATTACAAATATATATATATATATATTTGAAATGAAATGACATGAAAATTTTCTTTTATTTTTATGAAAAATCTAATGAATTTTAAACCAATTCAAATCAATTTGTGACATATCTATAAATCATATTTATATCGCATATGTTTGAAAAATACACTTTTAAGTTGCAATTCATAAGTCTTTTTTCTTCTCCCCCTCTCTCTCTTCTTCTTGATATACTTTTCACAAGGGTGTGAGTACATATACAGTAGGTAAAAAGCGGTAAGTTATCATCAGTAAAGAAAATCATCTTATATATATCGAAACATTTGAAGAGTATCTCTACATATATATATAAAACCGACAAAAAGATTGAAATTTTGATGATAACATATTCATCATCATTGAACATGTATATATGTATTGAGATTTACTTTTTTTTTTGTTTCTGATCATCATTCCTATAGACAGACTAGAATAAGGGAGGTATCGATTAACAGTAAGCAAACATAACCACGAGCACAATCAGTATGAACTATTAGTCGGATGACAGGCAACTAGTGAGTGAATATGTATTTTGAAGTAAACAATCATGATGATGATGACGTCGGTGAACGTGTTGCTATTTGATTGATTCGTGCTTTCATTGTGGTAATAAGAGACACATTATGGTCTGCTAGCTGGTCTATTGTTCTACGTCGATCTGCTGTCATTTACCAATCAATCGAGAATAAAGGATTAGTTAGATCGTGTGAACAACAGAAATGTGTCTCCTGTTTTACTCTTTTTTTTGTGGACCAATAAATTTAATTTGCATTTACTTTTCTGGAAAGTCGATCCGCATTGATTATACTTCTCTCGGTTCTTTTTCTTTTTGATGTAATCGAAATCTGAAACGTGTAATGAGACAAAAAAATAATGACGCCTGATTTTGTTTGTGTCAAGTCAACGTTGATTTTTGATTTGTTGGACATTCATATATGTCGGATATTCACAAATTTCTATTGTTGACGTTAAGTATTATATATACATGTTAAATAAAAATTGATGATATAATTCAAAAAAAATTGATGCCAATCATTTTAACAAAGAGAGGGAAATTTAGATGAATATGAAGTTCAGGTTTAATCAAAAAAGAAAGTCAATAGAATGAATCAAGATCTGATGTCTGATCTATACAAGAAAATCTTTTAAATTGAATTACTAGTTTGGAAATGATGTCGCTAGTTTACTGATTATGTTCAGATAGTTATTTATAATCAAATTAATTTCTTATTTGTTAGAATGTAAATATATGTTACATTCGTTTTCTTTCATCTTCTTCTTTGAAACTTTTAATAAACAAACTAAATTCGAATACTTCTTATCGTTAAACATTATATGACTTTGAATAATAATAATAAATAAATTCATACTAATTATTAAATGAGACAAGACAGATAAATTATTAATTCTATGATTGTCCAAAATATTAGTGATAAAACACATATGTCTGAAAATGTTGATATATAAGAATTTCTGTTCTTTATAACATCGTCTTCAAGACATTTGTCATACTTTTTATGACTTGTCTTTTTATTATTTTATATGAATAATAAACTATCATTGATTTTGTTTTTTAGATTTGTTTTTCTTTTGAATAAAAAGTTCGACAATTGATTGAACTGTATAAATTGTTCTTATCGGTAGTTAGGAAATTTAAATCAAAGGTATGCATAGATTTTTTTGTATACAAAGAATCGAAAATATATTGTTAATGTCAATAACGTCCAATTTATACACAGAGAGATCGAAATTTTGAGGATACTTCATAGATAATCTACCTAACGCATATTTTATTTTGTTTTAGAAATTTATAGCGGATCGATTTCTAGGATGACAACAAATGTTGAAGCAGATTTAACAAAAAAATTAGAAACAAGTAGTTTAGAAGCAGCTCAACATGAAATACCAATAAGTAAAGATACAGCTGATGCTTTAAAAGCACAAGCAAATGAAGCATTTAAAAGTACAACTAATTTCTAATTTTCTATAAATTCAATATTTAAATAAAAAAAAACTAGATGGTGATTATGACACGGCAACTGAACTATATTCAAAAGCAATTGAAATTTATCCTGATGCAATTTTATATTCAAATCGAAGTTTTGCTTATCTTCGTCGTGAATGGTATGGTTATGCATTGATTGATGCTAAAAAAGCACTTGAATATGATTCGAAATATATTAAAGTAAATTAATTTTTTTTTAAATATGTTTTATTTCAATCGATTTCTTTTTCATAAAGGCATTCTATCGACGAGCATCTGCTTATATGGCTTTAGGTAAATATCCATTAGCATTAAATGATTATGAATATGTAAGTTTTTCATTTTTTAAATTTCAATGATTAATATTAAAATAAATAAAGGTTAAAAAAGTATGTCCAAATGATAAAGATGCTTTATTAAAATATGAAGAATGTAAAAAAATTGTAACACGTATTCGTTTTGAAAAAGCAATTGCTGTTGATGAATCGACAAAATCAGTTGTAAATCAAATTGATCTAAATTCTATGAGTAAGATTCTTTTTTTTCTTAAGAGAATATTTGTTACATATTTATATTTTTTAGCTATCGAAAAAGAATATGATGGTCCACATTTAGATGCTGAAGGTCGTGTTACAAAAGAATTTATGTTTGAACTTTTACCATATTTTGAAAATCAAAAAAAACTTCATAAAAAATATGCTTATCAAGTAAAAACAAAATTCGATTAAAAGAAAAACTAATTAATATTTAACTAATTTAGATTATTTTACAAATTCTTACGCTACTCAAAACCTTACCATCTTTAATTGATATTACTGTACCATCAGTAAGAATTTTAATTTGAAAAAAACTTATTTTTTAAGAATGATTGATTTTTATTTAGAAACATAAATTTACTATTTGCGGAGATGTTCATGGACAATTTTATGATTTATTAAACATTTTTAAATTAAATGGACCACCATCAGATCAAAATCCATATGTAAATAAATATTTTTAATAAAAATTTTAATTTAAAATCTATTTTAGTTATTTAATGGTGATTTTGTTGATCGTGGTTCATTTAGTATGGAATGTATTCTTACTTTATTTGGTTTTAAATTACTTTATCCTGATCATTTCTTTCTTGCGCGAGGTAAATTAAAAATATTAATTTAAAATAAATAATTATTTTTTTGTATATTTCATAGGTAATCATGAATCATTAACAATGAATCAAATGTATGGATTTGAAGGTGAAGTCAAAGCAAAATATACAGTACAAATGTTTCAATTATTTACAGAAGTTTTTAATTATTTACCATTATCACATTGTATTAATAATAAAGTTCTTGTATGTTTTGTGTTTTATATATTTCATTGGTGATTATTTATTTTTAAATTTGATTTAGGTTATGCATGGAGGATTATTTAGTAAAGATGATGTAACATTAAAAGATATACGTGCTATTGAACGAGTTAAACAACCACCAGAAGATGGATTAATGTCAGAAATATTATGGAGTGATCCACAACCACAAAATGGTCGATCGGAAAGTAAACGTGGTGTTGGTAAATATTTAAAACAAACTTTGTTTTAATTAATAATCTATTGAATTAATATTAATTAGGTCTTCAATTTGGACCTGATGTTACTGAACGTTTTCTTAAATTTAATAATTTAGAATATGTTGTTCGTAGTCATGAAGTTAAACAAGAAGGTTATGAATTAGCACATAATGGTAAAATAATATATATATATAGTTATTAAAGTTTAAATAATTTTTCAATTTTAGGAAAATGTATTACGGTATTTTCAGCACCAAATTATTGTGATTCAATGGGAAATAAAGGTGCTTATATAACAATAACAGGTGATGATGTAAGGCCAAAATTTACATCTTATACTGCTGTACCACATCCACCTGTTCGTCCAATGATGTATGCCAATCAATTATCGATGTTTGGTTTGATGTAAAACATTTTTTCAACTAGAAGTATTGACATTGATTTTAGAATAGACTATTATTCCGGTGATTTTTTTTCTATTTCTTGTTCTATCTATTCATTTTTTCAATTCCGTTGATATATTTTCTTTTGAGGATCTTTTTTTTTCTAATCTTGATCGACAAAATTTTGTGTCATTCTCATATTTTTGCACAAGTTTTGCGAATATCTACAGTTTCTTTTTCTGTGCACAAAACTTTTCTTATTCAGGAAATATATAACACACAAGTAAATGATGATCTAAAACATATATTTCGATTATGATGCATTCTAAGTGAAATTTTATTATATGAAGTTTATTTCTGATCTATTCTCAATCAAATAATATTCATTCGAAAGGGTTTATCGAGTAACTAGAAGAGAAAATGTTTTCGATTTAAAGACAATTGATTCAATGAAATAGTTTTTACAAAAAGTTTCTACATATAAAATAAAAGCATTGACCTCATAGAGCTCTCCGCTGTTTTTTTTATACATGTTTATATTTAAAATACAATCCTTGATACAATTATGTATAATTTAGGAATAAAAACCGTGAGTATTATTACAAAAGAATCTGAATCTAGGGTCATATATTGAAGAAAAAAAACAGCGTAATCGTTTGTAATTATAAATAATCGATGGTAATTTGGTTAATCGAATTTTTAATACATTCTTTCGTGTGAATAAGAAAAAACTCAATGAAACAAGTATAAATTTCTATCGATTACTTCTCATTCTCGTCTTTTCATTATTTTCTCTGATGATCTGAGTGTTTTCAATTTATAGATTCTGTGGTCAAAAGACAACGTGATTGAAAGAAGTTTTATTAATCGCTTTTATTCAAGTAAATAGTCATATTTAGACCTGTGATATATTTCTCCAATTCACCATGCGTCTACTAATTGTTTTCACGACTCTTCCATTGGTTTTATTAGCTCATGCCAGAATACTTGACACATATGGAAACAAAAGGTTTAGTTCGTTGCCTATGGCTGATGATTCTTCTACTAATAGAAGAATACGTTATTTGTTTGCAAAGCGTGTGAATAACGAAATAGACGAAGAAACATTAATACCACTGAAAAATATCTTTGGTATAGATAATCGAGTAGCTGTAGAAAGCAGTGCTTATCCTTGGTCAGCAGTCGGAAAATTAAGCACTGATTGTACAGGAACACTAGTTGTAAGTAATTAGCAGTATGATTAATATTGCAAACGACATATTTTGTTAAAAATTTAGGGATCTGATCTAGTTCTAACAGCCGCTCATTGTGTAATCGATTCAAAAACTCATGCATTAAGTACAAAATCACTCTATTTCTATGCAAATATGATCGATGGTAAATCGAGTCATCAGGCTTTTGTATCGCATATTTGGTGGGGTACAACTGATCCAGACACGAATCGTAACAAAGATTGGGCTCTTCTTCGTTTAGATAAGAAACTAGGTGATACTCAAGGTTGGCTTGGCGTAAGAATGCTTTCAACTAATACAATGATAACTACATCTGGCACATTAGTTGGTTATTCGGCAGATTTTCGAAATAGTAAAACAGCTGGTGTACATGTCGGTTGTAGTATAACTAAACAACTGAAAGATGATTTATTTATACACAATTGTGATATGACTAGAGGAGCCAGTGGTGGACCAATTTTTGCAAATTGGAATGGTTCACCATATATATATGCACTCAATGTAGCTGAATTTCGTCATGGTGGTGATCAAAGTTTACAAATATGGAACTTTAACGATAATGAAGCTAACGTTGCTATGTGGTCGGTAGAACTCATGAACAAAATTAATTCATTAAAACAATCATAAATATAAATGAATCATCCAGTTATTCATCTTCATTTTGCTTTTAGTACTCTTTATAAAAGATTAGAAAAGAATTACAATTTCCTCGTAATTCTAGGTCTAATTTGTTCCTTTAGGATTTAATTAGAATAATAAATTATTTTATGCTAAAGAAATTGAGTCCCACTCGGTATCATTCTCTAGTGAAATATGTCTTAATAACTCAGTACAATGACTACCATTCAAATTTCATCTTGATGCAACAAAACTCAAGTTTGTTTATTTTCTTAATCATCGTTTTGTCATTATAAGACACTTAAATGCATCAGTTAACATACGATACTGAAGACCCATTGATACATAATTAATTGAAATGTTTTCAAAATGAGAGACTCTTACAATCACTTGACTTAATGAATAATATTATATTCTACTATATAAATATGATAGTAATCAATTTGTATTGCATCGATCATTTTGTCGGGTTTACTATTACAGTTATTTAACAAAAAAAGTTGTTTTGAAAATAAATAAACTATAATAAATGTATACTTCGGTTGCATATATTCTCATATCGAAATATTTTTGATCAAAAAACTGATAGATAACAAATGTGATTGTGGCGCTCCTAATCGATTGACTCCTTTTCCTGTTCTATCACGTACACGTGGTCAGTAAATTTGTTTCTAGTCGATACATAACTGATTAAGTTGAAATCAATTACAAATTAATGGAGAAATTAGAAATTTCTACTGTTAATCATCATGTCGGTTCAACCGAACGAGTATTTGTTGCTCATGTTAATGATTTAAATGGTTTGTTATGGTTTCTTAAATAAATATTTACTTATTTTACTTTCTTAATTTCATTTAGATTTCTATTTACATTCTGATCTAGAACGTGAATCACTTTGTAAACTAGGTCAAGATTTATATAATGAATATTCTCAATCATTCACGTATGTATATGTTTTTCTTTTATTTTCTAAGAATAACATTATTTTTCTAATAGAGAATCATCGGGAATCAATGAAATACCCAATGTAGGAGATTATTGTGCATGTCCATCAGAAAGTGAAGATTGGTATCGTGGATTAATACGACAAATCGATCATAATAATAATGCAGTCGTATTTAAATTAGATTATGGTGATGTACAATGTGTACCTATATGTTTTCTTCGACCTTTACGAGTAAATCTTATTTAAAAAGATGTACATACATATATATATTTGTTTTTGTTTTACTAGAAACGTTTTTTTCATATACATCATCTTGCATTTCATTGTTCATTAGCTAATTTAATTCGACCAGTAAATGGTTGGTCATCAGATATAATTGAGGAATTTCGTTCACGGTTAACAACAACATTTCTTTATGCAAAATTTATAAATTATAATGCAATAAGAAATATATCTGAAGTTGAAATAACAGAAAAAAGCTCAAAAATACCATTAAACAAAGATTTTGGTAAGAGAGAAAACAAACAAATTTAAATTTATATTAAATATTTTATTACATAGAACAATATCAAATGCAACGATCAATATTACAAGCAGATGATGAATTTCTCTATAAATGTATATTTAATATATTAATTTTTTGTTAGCTAACATATTTTTTGCTTATAGCTATTTCGATGGAAAAATTAGATTATTCTCAATTATATCAAATTCGTATTCTTTATTATATAAGTCCAAGTCGTTTCTATGTTTATCTACATGACAAATTAAATGCACATATGAGTGTAACTACAAGTTTTACAATGAATTTATATCAATAGTTTTTCTTTTTTTGATTAGTTTCAAAAAGAATTACAAGATACTATACAAGACTGTCGAGTTGTATCATCACCAACGAAATATCAAATAGTTGCTGTACAAGATAATTGTGCTATTTGGCATCGTGCTGTTATCATAGGTTTGATTTAAATAAAAGAAAAATTGTTTTAGTTATTTATTTTGTTCTTTTGAAGATTTTACATCTGATTTATCAACAGTTTGTGTTTATTTTACTGATATTGGTCAAAAAGAATACACTTCAATAAATAATATTCGTCATTTACCAGAAGAATTTCGACATAAACCAGCTTTTGCTATACCTTGTCGATTATATCAAATATGTTCAATTGATGAAAATAATGCATTAATATGGAAATCAGATGATCCAGTACATGATGAAATAAATAGACTTTTAATTAATAATGTTGCATGTAGAATATGTGCAAAACAAGATCAAATATGTTATGATGTAGAAATTGAAGTTCCTAGTAAGTCATTGATTAAGTAATAATTTAAATAGAAAACCCATCTAGATTTGTGAAAATATCAAGTTTGTTTATCAAGATGAATAATTCTTTTACAAATAAACTAGACACGTTTTCGTTAGAAAGAATTTTATCTGAGAACCAGTTCTTCTAGAGCAATTGAAACTAGCTATCAATTCTTTTGGAAAAGACTTATTCACATAATTCAGTACTTGGTACAGCGTGACTTTTGTGACTGTGCGATCGGTCACAATGACCTTTTAATACACTTATGTAATGAGAATGATTGATTTTGTACTAAATATATAATTTATTGTAGGTGTGTAACTATAGACTCGATTTATTTTTCTTATTGGCTTTCTTTTTTATCACGTGTAATCATCGTTAGTATTATGTCATGTTAAGAGTCAATAAATTTTTGCTGCATAAACCAGATGTTCACCTTCACACTAGCACTCATCATATAAAAAGTTAGTTTGAGATGGTTCGAAGTAAATGTTACCATTAGATTTATGAGAAAACTCGTTTAATTTATTTTTCATCAGGTGAAAATATTTCGTTACCCTACCTTTACTTGACATATCAGTGCTGTTCAAGAAAATTTTTGAAAACTATTGTATTTGGTGAACTTTCTAGAAGCCATTAGATATAAGAGCATTGTCCGAAAGATTTTTCGAGTCGGATAAATTTTCTACTTTTGCGGCAGATTCTACACCTTCGTATGAATCTCTTTTAGAAGCATTCACTACCATATGTCGCATAGCCACACAAATTACTATAACTGCAACCGATGAGAATAGTTTCATCTTTATTTTTAAACACTTCTGTAATCTACTATTCTAAATAGATTTTTAAAGATAAATAGGCATATTGAGATATTATTCTAAGTTAATAGAGTAGAAATATCAAAACTGATTGAAGTTTTATTTTCATTAGTGGCGCTAGCTGTTCTATGAAAAAATAATCTCGTATTGGCTTCTATATTAACCTAACAATATGAGTGACACACTGGGTAAAAATATTTTCATAACATGTACATTTGTTTTTCACTTTCTTCTCGATAAATCTTTTGTAGCTCTTTGTTCTATCCATCCTTGAATCCATATTATCTATTTGGATGAAAAAGAAAAAGAAAAATGTTATTGTTTATTCGATATACACATATTTTATTTAAATGAATGACATTCCGTGAATTTTTTAAGAAGGAAGAATAAATCAATAAATTAAATAAAATCTTTTCTATTTTCGTTCTAGAGGTAGGAGACCTTAGTGCATTTCTTATTGACAAAAAATTGGTTTCTCGAACAAAAATGAATCCTTCTCAACGTCCAAACTATGGATCAGGAGGTCAAGCACAACCACAATCATTTGTTCGAAATCAACTTGGTTTAACCGGACTGTCTCCTTCAAGAACACAACAACCACCGAGATTTCCTCAACCAACTAACTATCCCAATAATGGAAATAATATGATTCAACAAACACAAACACGTACATCAAATCCTGGATTATATAATAATAGCGTTCAACAACCTCCTAGTGCATCGTAAGTTAATATAAAATTTAAAAAAATATTTTGAATATATTTCGAAAGATTCGTAATTAATAGCCTTATTTTTTTCTAAAATTGAAAACAAAAGGATGATTATAACAAAAGAAAATTCTCCCTTTGAGTTGTTTTGTAATTATCTTTGATTTTATGCTATTTCAGATCAAATTATGGTTCATCTTTCAATAATTCCGCAGTACAACCTCGTAAGCTTTCTTCTTCGTTGTTTTCCTTTTTATCTTAATAATTTATTTAATTAGAGAATGGACATTATATAATAACACAAGTTCATAGTGCTCTTGAATTTTATGGTCTTCCTCAACAACGTGTAGGTGAATTAGAAAATGTATCAAAATATTTTGAAGACTATTATAATAATTCTATGAACGATCAATCAATAAATGTGAATTCAATTGTTGAAGGTAACATTTATGTGATACAATCAGGTGAAAAATATCATCGTGCTATAATAAAGTAAATTTAAACGAAAAGATATTTTCAGAAATATTCAATGATTTGTTTTTACTTTATTTGATAATTAGACATTGTGAAAGTAAATCAAGAGTATCAGTTAAACTTATTGATCGTGGTGATGAAATTATTGCTGATTCATCAGAGTTATTACAAATTGAGAGAAAATATTCTTTATTACCGGTATTTGCTCAATCATTCCGTTTACGTAATTATGATGAAGCAGTATGTAAAATATATATCTATTGTTTGAATTGAATATTTAATAAAATTCTTTTCTTTAGCAAAGTACAGCTAATATAACTCGAAATTTAAAAAAATTAATACTTAATCAGCATGTTCGTATTGAATTAAGAGGACCTATTACTAATGGATTTTATCCTGTTGAAGTATTTTTAAATGATAATCGATCTGTTAATGAATTATTGCTTTCAAATGATAAAAATGTATTTATTAATATTTAATTTTTATTTCAAAAAAAATATTTGTTTTTGTCTACAGGTAACAACACCTATTGCAAACACTAAACCTACTTATAATCAACCACAACATACTCATATTGAGTAAGTGAAATATATATTTGATTGATTATCAAATAATATCTTTTATGTGTAGATCACAAGTATTTAGTAATTCAAATAAACATCATTCAACAATGAGACAAGATTTATCTGGTGGACATTTTAATATGAATCAACGAACAAATGATATCTTACCAACACCACCAAGAACATTAACAGGTGCATCACGTATGCAATCTGGCCGATTTAGTGGAGAAAATCAATCATTATCTAAACCACCTGCGTCTAATGAACAAATGGCACGTTTTTCAAGTACTAATAATCGAAATCAACAACCACAAACAGCAGATCCAATGTGGAATAACCCTAAACCGACTTTTGATAATAATAATATGACAAATCAACAATCATTTGGTCGACAACCACCAGGTCTATCTCAATTTAATAATAACCAAAGAATGGATGATAATAAAATATCTTCTACAAATCGTTTTCCATCATCAAACTATGATAATCAACAATCATCACCATCATCTGGTATAGAAATATAAAAGAATAAAATTAAATACAAGACAACTCTTTGTTTTTTTTTTACTATAGGAAATACTTATAATTATGATCGTAGTGAAAAACAAACGAGTGGATATAATTATCAACAGAATAATGATGAAACCAATGAAAATAATGTTCGGCGAAGTGAATTTAGTAGTCGTGGTAGTAGTAGTAATAGTTTTGGCGGTCGTGGAAAAGATTTCAGTAATCAACGAGGTATTTCAAAAATATTAAATATACAAGATAATTGAAAAATATTTCTTTTGTTTTTATTCTCATAGGTCAAAGTGGCTTTAGTAATCGTAATATCGGTAGAAGTGATGATGATAATAATAATGAAAATAGTTTTCAATCCTCAGGAGGATTCTCTAGTAAGTAGCTTTAAGAAAATTGTTTCTTTAATTCTATTTGATTATTATGTTTGAAAGGAGGACGTCCTGGTGGTTTTGGTGCTCGAGGTGGTGGTAAGTAATTATTTTTTTTATTTGATAATATCTGAAGTGTTTTTCTTTTTGATAAAATAGCTCGTGGTGGACATTTTCCGGAACGAAATGGTAGCAATAGAAATCCAGGTGATGATTATAATGAAAATAGTATGCAACGCTCACAAAATTTCAGTAGTAATCGTGGAGGACGTGGTACCGGTGGTGGCTTTCAAAATCGTCGAGATCAAGGAAATAATCCTACAGATGGAGATTTTGGACGACGAGGAGGTGGATTTAGTACACGTGGTGGTCAACGCGGAGGTAAGAATCATAAATATTTTTATCTGAAATGTTTAATTTCTTTTAATCAAGGCGAACGTGGTGGTCGAGGTGGTTTCCGTAACGATCGTGATCGTAATGAATTTCAATCAAGTGCAGATAATAATTCTTCAAATAATACTTGGTCAAGTATACGACCTGCACCTGTTAATTTCGAAGCTGGTGATCGTTTTATTGAAAATGAAATACCTAAAGAAGCTTTTAAATTTGTTATTAGTCATATTGAAACAGCGAATAATGTTTTTATTCAATTATTATCTAAAGGTGATGATTTAACGAAATTAACTGAATCTTTACAAAATGAATATAAACAAGCACCAGAAGTTGGTTTAAGTTCATTTAAACAAAATCAAGCATGTTTAGCTAAAAGTTCAGATGGATGTTGGTATCGAGGTAAATAAAATCAACGAAATTTATTTGAATTTTTCAAATTTTTATTTTTAGCTATTGTTCTTTCAACTGGTTTAATTAAATTAAATGTTCGTTTTGTTGATTTTGGTGATACAACTGATGTTAACGCAAATTCTATTCGACCATTAGCAAAAAAATATTGTTCATCAGCTCCCTATGCTTATCCGTGTACATTTAAAAATGTCGAAGGTACCGTTTACATATGAAAAATTTCATCTTGATCAATAGTTTCTTTTTTTAGTTGTTAAAAATATCAGTACAGACAGCATTGTTGAGAAATGTGTTGCTAAAGAATTTAAGGGAAAAATCGAAACTAAAAATTCAGATGGTAAATTTCTTCTTGAATCAGAAGAATTTCTTAAAATGTTACTTGGAATAAATGCAATTAAGTAAGATATAAATCTTTAATTTCATTATAAAAAATATATTTTTCTTTAGATTAAAATCTCAAAAGTCATTTAAACTAATAAAATGTATCATTGTTCATATTGAATTTGATCAACAACGATTTTTTGTACAAGATGATGGAGACACAATAGACAAAATCGAAGAACTTATCGCAATTGAAGATGAAAATTCTCCAACACTTTCACTTGATGAAGTCAAACAATTAGAACCCAATACAAAAGTTATAGCAACATTTGAAGAAGCACCATATCGTGCTATTATTCAATCTGATGAATCTGAAGATAATGTTAATATATTTTTTATTGATTATGGTAATACAAGTTCATGTCCAAAAACATCACTTAAACGATGTAGTGAACAATTAAGTTCATATCCATATCAAAGTAAACAATGTCAGTTATATGGTATATCATCTAATGAAATTGATAATGCATTTAAATGTCTTCAAGAACATTTAAATGAAACAGAACTTGAAATTGCAATTGTTAATGAAAAAGATAGTTTATATAATGTTCGTGTTTATATTGATAATGAATGTATGAATGAAAAATATGGTTATGATCCAAACGTCACGGAAAGTAATAATATCGAGAAAGAAAATAATGAACAAGAACAAGAACAAGAACAATTATTATCTGTAGCTGATCATCAAACAAATGATAATAGTGTAACAACAAATGAAAGTATAACAGATGTATCAACAATTGTAACCCCCGAACAAAATGTAACTGAAACGGAAGGTATGTACAAAACTTCATTAGTTCAAATAGGATCATTTTCTTGTGTTGAAATCTAGTGAGCGATGTCTCCTAATGATTAGTTTTGCAACAGTTCTCAATCAATTTTTCGATCCACATCCGTTCCCCTCTACAGGGATAATCAAAACTCTCGTTATTTTATGAAAATATAGAAAGACAAACTTTAAGGACATTTTTTTGAAGATCTTGATTAGAAGACGAGCAAATAACATCCTATAAAATAACATGACAGCGAGATTTGTATGATTTATGAGTCTATTTTTGTTGCATGTACTAATGAAGCACATCGACGGAGACTTTCGGTTTTCGTTATCAATGATAGACTAAGATAGTTATATGAATCTTGTCAATGTCTTGTTTTATAGAAAACTATTTGCTATGTAATTTTATAGTTTAACAGTATCTCATATTTTAAGTATATAGTAAATATGGAATTACAAAAAGAGGCTGGAAAGTACAGGATATGCACTTCAGTACATCTGGTTGCATACAAAACAAATTTCAGTATCAGATCCTCGAACGCACTTAAAATATAATAATGTTCCTCGAATATCTCTACGTAATTTTGCCATTGTTGATCAACTACTAAGTACATTAAAGAGATTATAATTCAGATCCAGGTTTAAAGTCAACAATCTCAGATGTTTTCTTCGGATAGTCAAAAGTATACATTATAAAGTATTATTTTTATTTAGAAACTCCATCAAAATATCGTCAAGGACTTCTAACTCATATTGAACAAACAAAACCGTATGTTTATCTTCAATACATACCTGAATCGGAAGAAATCCTCGAACAAATAAATCAATTAATTGGAACAATTACAGAAGAAGATAAACATAATTCATCATATGAAATAGGCGATCATGCTATTGCTCAATTTAGTGAAGATGATAATTATTATCGTGCAAGAATTGAATCTTATTGTTCAACATCAAAATTATATACAGTTTATTTTCTTGATTATGGAAATATTGATACAAATGTTCCAATCGAACATTTATATTCCTATTCAAATGAATTAGAACAAATTCGTCCACAAGCACATGGTTATGTATTAGATGCAATTTCTTCTGAAACATGGCAAAATACTGTTCGTTCATTTGTCGAACAAAATTTAAATGATGTTGTCGAATTTTATATTACTGATGAAAATCATTCTTCAATACAAATGAAATTTGATTATGAAAATCATACTTCTAATGTAAAAGATAATATTGAACAAACAGAATCTTTACCAACAGAACCAATAAAAACTATTACAGCTAATATATCAGCAATAGATAATGATTATTTTTATATTCATACAATTCCAGATGGAAATTTACATGTTTGTGAATTGGAAGATATTTTACAATCTTGTGAAAAACAACATAATGATCAATGGTTTATTAATGATATATGTATTGTTTCTAATGAAGATGAACAATATTATCGTGGTCAAATACTTTCTATTAATGATGATAAATATACTCTAAAATGTATTGATTATGGAAATATTTTACAAGATGTAACTAATGAACACTTATTTAAATTACCTGATGAAATTATTTACAAACAATCACCATTAGCACATCAATGTCGATTAAATGGTATTGATGATGAAAATCAAACGAAAGCAATTGAAGAACTTATTAAAAATATTCCATTAACTGAACATGTGACAATTACGATTGAAGATGATCGAAATAATCAATGTTCATATGTAACACTTACTAGAGAAAATAAAGATATTGTTAATAATCAATATCAATGTGATAATCATGAAAATAAGGTATGAAAAGAGAACACGAGCGACTTTTGATTTATTTTATTTTCACCTATAGCCACAATCAGATAATGATGAAAATAATGAAGCACTACTCGAAAAATCACCCGATTCAGTTCATGAAACTGATATACCAACAATAAACAATGAAGCATTACTCGAAACTTCACCCAATTCAGTTCCCGATACTGATATACCAACAATAAACAATGAAGCACTACTCGAAACTTCACCCAATTCAGTTTCCGATACTGATATACCAACAGAAAATAATGAAGAAGAAATAACATCAGAAATAAAACCTCCAGATAATGATAATCCAACATCAAATAATGAAGCGATTGATTTAAATGAAAATGAACCATCAACAGCAATAAAAGATGAAACAAATAATTCCATATCATCGGATTAATCTGTGATATTTTATATTTAACGTTCCTCCGCTCAACTTTAACTTTATACTGTTATGTTTCTTGTTATGCAAAACAAAAAAACTTAGAAAATTTAATCATTCATAGCACTTTTTTTTCCTAACTATTAAAGTTTTCTTTTCGTTCAGATTTTCGTCTATGCGAGAAATCTTCGTTCGTTTTTTTTCTTTTACAACAGAAACAAAATTTAGCAGTTTATAACTGCCGATAAATATGTATGGTTTCTTGTTTTTTTTTTTTGTTTATTCGAAAAATAAAATTACGCACAACAAAAAAAAGAATTTATTTCTCAAACATTAACTAATGACAAGATGTATTCAGTAGAGGAAACCTTGGAAATAGCTTTTCTTCTTTTTTACTTGTCTAAAGAATTTTCTAGAGGTTTCTTTTGCATGTAGATTTATTAAAGATATTAATAAGCTCATAGGTAATTTATTAATAATTAGGATATGACATGAAAAAAGAAATGAAGTAGGCATTCTTACTATTTTTAATGAAGAATGATACGTGATGTCTACAATTTTTTTTCTCAATAGTATGATTTAACAAGCTATATTTAGAATAATCTCTTCATATTTGTCGAAGTCAAGTTATTTATGTTCATTCATTGCAAGACAAAGTGATTGTATATAATTAAAATCTATAATCATATATCACACATAGTTTTCTTCTTTTAAATAATTTTCTAGATGCACGAACATTAAACAGACAGAGACAAATGTTAATAAGTCATTTATGTAGGTCATCAAGAAAAATTAATTAACCTATTTATATGAATATTGAATAGAACTTTTATCTCTAGTTCAAATTTAATCTTAACTCAAACAAAATAATATCTCAGAGTGTTAACCATAATAATTCATCATTAATCATATATTCGTTGATGACTATTATTAATCTGTCATTATAATATCTATTAATAACTTTTTATTTTACTGTTATAATCAAATAATTTTAATATACATTTAACTTTTCTTTTTCTTTTTCTGTGCAAATATTTTTCTTTAACAAATACTCATTAAATTCAATGATTTTGTATTTTCTTTTGTAGCAAGTAAAACATAAATCTTTTTATCCATTTGATCTGGAAAAATGATAAGCAGGAAAGAAAAAGACTGTTTATGTATACATGAAGGACAACTAGAAAGTATGTTGTTCTATGCAAAAAATAATTTCATGCTTGATATATCTTGTTAGTAAGAGTTTATCCACACGTAAATTACATGAAATTGAATGGATCATTGATGAGGTACAAATAGAAATTTTAAAATGAGCAAAATCATTTCAATATGAATATATTTGAATACCAACTCATCTTGACAATGATTGATCCATATGATTATATTAATGAAATTTATTGAGCGAAGAATACGATGAAATCAAATTTTGATAAGCTGAATGTTTATTTCTTCATATCAAATCATTACTTATTTTACACTTTTCAATGATAGAGCAGCTTCCTCGAATTCAAGTACATATATCCTGTCGCAACCGAATGATGAATGAGATGAAAGAACAAAGTTTTCCTTTGCATGCATTCAATGAATGCATAAATACTATTAACATAATGAATCATAGACAGAATTTTCTCAATAACGCCATCTATTATTACTATACTAAAATCTCGTTCGTTTCTGTCTTAGTCAGTTGCTAAGCAATGACACTGCCTCATATAGTATAGATTATTCGCCGTCCGATGTTCGTTCTGCCCGTCCGGGTGACTAATCGTTATGAATGTCTTATCCTGTGTATGTCGAGCGCTACTTACTCGCTGCTACTGCCGATGTACGCGTCGAAGAGAGAGACAGGGAAAGAGAGAGAAAGAGAAGAGAGAAGAAGAGAGAATGAGAAGCAAATAAATACATTTAGTCTATCTCTTACTCACATACACGCATCTCTATCCTATGCCTACGCCTTCTCTCCCTGACGCATTCTGGGAACGGGCAAGCAGCGAACTTTCTCAATTGTACAATGTATTTTTTTATCGCTCTTTCTCCCTCTCTCTGTTCGTCTCTCTCTCTCTCTTTCTTTTTCATCTGAAAATTTTCGTATATATACTCCTAATGTTTTTCATTCATCCTATTTTACAGATCTAATTGTCTCTGCTTACTAGCAAAGTCTTTTACTTATCAAGTCAAATAATCAACAATCATGTCGAACAAGGAAGAAGAAGTACAACGTTCCAAATTGGCTGAACAAGCCGAACGGTATAAAAATCATTTTATGATTGAAGTCATATAATTATCTTATAAAAAATTTAGATATGATGATATGGCTAATGCCATGAAAAAGGTTACCGAAGCAAATAGTGAATTAACAAACGAAGAACGTAATTTACTTTCGGTTGCATATAAAAATGTTGTTGGTGCACGTCGTTCATCATGGCGTGTTATTTCAAGTATTGAACAAAAAACTGAAGGTTCAGAACGTAAACAACAAATGGCAAAAGAATATCGTGAAAAAATTGAAAAGGAATTGAAAGATATCTGTCAAGAAGTTTTGGTAAATACAAACAAAATGTTTTTATTATTACTATTTTAATATTTTTTTTAGACTTTACTTGATAAATTTCTCGTTCCAAAAGCAACAACACCTGAATCGAAAGTATTCTATTTAAAAATGAAAGGTGATTATTATCGTTATTTAGCTGAAGTTGCAACAGGTGACGAACGACAAAGTATGTTTAATAATAATAATAATAAAAAAAGAACTTAACGAATATTTAATTTCATTTTTACTTTTTGTAGAAGTTATTGAAGAATCACAACGTGCATATAATGACGCATTCGATATTGCTAAAAATCAAATGCAACCAACACATCCAATTCGTCTTGGTCTTGCTTTGAACTTTTCTGTATTTTATTATGAAATTCTCAATGCACCTGATCGTGCTTGTCATTTGGCTAAACAAGCTTTTGATGATGCTATTGCTGAACTTGATACACTTAACGAAGAATCATATAAGGGTTAGTCATTTCAAATCAATTATTCATATGCAAAATTTTTTGTTTTCTTTTTAATAGATAGTACACTGATCATGCAATTACTCCGGGATAATCTTACGGTAAGGAGAATATTTTTTATTTTAATTATGCACAAAAAAAAACGAATTATATTTTTATTAGTTATGGACAAGTGATGCACCTGATCCAGATGAAACTAATCCACCAGAAGAACATCAGTAACTGTTTATTATTATTCTTTTCTCTTTTTTTTTTGTTCGTGTACAACACACATACACACAACCGGTCAGCAAACAATTTGACAAAAGCAAAAATAACAACTTTTCTGCTCTTTTTTTTCTCTTAATATTATTATCAACTTATACTCTTTTTTCTTTATATTTTTATTCGTTTGTCGATGTCAACATTTCTTTGTCTTTATCCTTCTTTTTTCTGTGTGTGTGTGTGTGTTGGTTGTAATCATTATTTCTCATTAGTTATTTGTTCATTTTCTTCTTTTTCTAATGTTCGTCTTTTTTTTCTTTTGTCTATTCATGTATTGTCGGCATCGTATGTCTCATGTAGAAAACAAGAAACGAAAAAAAACTTGCATACATTAAAAAAAAAGAGGAAAAAAAACAAACTTTATACATATGTACGCATAACAATGAAAATTGTTTTTATTAGCTGAAAATATTCAGAAATAAGATAGATGATAATGACAATCATCTAATATATGGTAGTTAAATACATTTTTGATTGACTTAATAACCAAAAACAACAGACGTATACATAATGTTGTTGACCTTTCTTATCAACTATATGTCCAAGATAACTTATTTTGTAATTTAAAGTATAAATACTAATTTTTTTCCCATTTATAATTTATTCATAATTATACTTTAGTCTATCATGGGTTTTTTGTTATGTATACATTCGATTTAATTTATTCTCCTTAGTGATTTTGATAAGAAAATATTGAATTTTTTTCTAAGTCAAAATTATTTCACCTGAGAAAAATAGAAATCCCATTGGTCTAGGATAATTAATATTTTATTCGATGACATTTCCGACGGGAATATTAAAACCTTTTAGCTAAAAGGGGAGAAGGAGAAGAAGAAGAAAAAATCATCATTCGATCGTTTAGCGATCGTATTCACCTTTTTCTTCAATACTATTAGATTCTGATTCTGACAGCACATAATAATAACAAAAAACAGACTTTGTCTTTGATATGCATTTTTTAATTTTAAATTCATACGCAATATTGAATGTTTATCCTTAAATCTTCAATAATAAAAATAATTTTAGCTTATAAATATTCATATGCGTCATATATGTAGTAGTAGTGGGAGAATTGAGTATGTCTTTTGTTTGACTGGCAAACGGAAATGGTATTTATCAACATCTATTGATTACTTGAAAAACAAAATGAATTAATCAACCTTGGATTAATATTACTTATGATTTTTCTTTTTTAATAAATATTCTCTCAACTGAAAGCGCAAGGTCAGACGTATCTAGCAGTATGAAAGTTTAAAGGTCAAAATCTAGACGCTCACAAATTATAAACGGAAATGAGAAATTCGAATCTATCATTAATTTTTTTTTCCCAATCGAGAAACGACTTTTTTTTATGGAAAACAGAGATGAGGCAATAGCAAAAGGATTTTTCTATCTGAAAAGTATCTTGTAAACAATATAATATATCGTTTGTATGATGAAAAGATTTTCTCACAATGATTTGTTCCGGAATTATGTTACGTATGATATAATATACAATGAAATTTTTCTCTAGCGATTTTGAAGAGTCTTATTAGAAAGATCAAAGTCGAGAACAAAACGTGAAATAGTAATAGCTAGACTTATTTAGATACCCATATTATGCACGGAAAAAAGATATAGTGCGTTGAATTGTTAATATTGTTCTTAGAAATAGAATGTGATTTGGTGATTATTATGTTCATAATACTAATTATTTTACGTTGATTTGTAAATGAAAGTATAGAAATTGTTTTTTAATACTAATAAATGAAATATGAGTGAGAGTTTTATTTTTCTATCAAAATTGTTCAAAATAATATTTTAGGAAACATCAAGAAGTGTTTTCATTATGTTTTGGAAATGATAACTAAAGAATGACATTGAACATGATTGCAGAAAAGAAAGAATGATTATATCTGTCATTATTCTATGAAATATATTTATAGCATATAAACGACAGACAAAATTCTAAAGGAACGTTAACTGATCGCATGATTATTATAATATTTAATTATTTGATAAAGATTTCTATTCAGGTTCTTATTGTAATAATCGATTATAATCTGTACAATTGATATTTAATGAAAGTTCTTATAGTTCAATATTTTATAAGTACACATCGAGTGAAATAGAACTTTCTAGATGTTTTGATTCATTTTGTATTTCATTGATTGATTTTGTTTTGCAGTGTTAACTGTCGTAATAATAATATCAATACCTAAGAAAAATGTCTATATTTATCCATCGTTGGTATGAATATTTCTCAGATAGTCAATAAGACGATTAGACAAAAGAAGTTACAGCAGTGATTGAATTGTACGAACAAGTCTCGGATAACAGAAGACATCTGCTAAGAACTTATTTGATATCATATTAGTGATAAGGGAAACACAGACAGTACAATGAAGTCTAATTCTTAAGGCTATCATTACGACAATCATAAACGACTGTAAGTTAATGTATACAATTGCATTACTTCGTACCATAACTGACTAAAAACTTGCAACATGTACGTTATCATTAGTACCGTAAAAATGGTCGTATAACAACAGATATGGCAGTAAAAATACACGTTTATGACCTTGTCTCGACATAATTCAATATGTTCTGTGCTAATCCATAAAAGATGCACTAAGCGGTGATTTGTTTCATTCCAAATTTCTTCAACTTCGCCTTACACCAGTTAAAATAACCTCTATTTTAAAGGCGTCACAATACATTTGCGCATTCAAATCATTTCCTTTAGACTTGAAATCATTTAATCAAACGAGTTTCTCAAGGTAGAAACTTTTTCTTTGCACAAAAAATACCTTGAGTAGCCTTTTTTCTTCATGAAAAAAGCGTATCTATTAGAGATACGCGAAATAAAGATTTTTTAGTGTCAATCTTAGGTTGATGTGATTTCAGTGAAGATTTGCAATAAAAATCTCAAAAATACGCTTACTTACATTTTACTTATACAGACAATATGTGTATTTATACTTTTCCATCGTTATCAAAGTATTAAACAGCAAAGCTGCCAACAATGTAGATAAGAAAAACTAAGGTGTAGATGTGGATATCTATAAATATCTGATATCCTCTTCATCCATATCTACATCTGCGTTATTAGTAATAAACTAGTTATAGTTGTATATTGTCATTAGAATAAAACTGTTAATCTAAAGATTTTTATAGCTACTATATGATAATAAAATACCTATATAAATCATCCTATTGCGTCGAAAGAGTTTGTTAATTATAGTTAACTTGTACACAGATAATTTAATTTTGTTGACAATTTTAAATCATTGTACAAAAAGACAAAATATGCTGTTTTATCTGGTATTAGTTTATTTAATTAATCATATGAAAACGATGGAACTCATGTATATATCTATATGAATTAAATATATGATTTGTTGTTTAATAGCAGCAAAACTTTCTTTCTCTTTTATTTTGTACATTGAAAAAGAAAAGAACAAAAGTTTATCTAAGACCCATTTTGACTTTATCTTTGGTTTTCTTTCGAACAACATCAATATTTCGTTCTTGCCATGTACTTTTTCGTAGTTTAATTGGTCGATTACCAACATATTTACCTATTTAAAAATAGAGAAAAAATGAAATTAGATTAAGAAGAAATATATATATATGAAACTTTTACCATTCATTTCACGCATTGCTCGAATATAATCTTGAGAATCTTTAAATGAAACAAAACCATAACCACGAGTTTTTCCTGATCGTTTATCTCGAACAACTTTTGCTTTTTGAAATGATGGATATTTATTAAAAGCTCGTACTAATACATCATCATTAACTTCATTACCAAGATCACCACAAAATAATCGAAAATCATCTATAAAATATAAAATTTTTATTTCAAATACAAGAAGTTTTTCTCTTTACCTGAATCCCATTCAGCAAGTGTTTCATCTTCCCATGTCGTACCACCAGCCATACGAACATGACGTGGTTTTTTTGGTTGTTTATTTTTACTTTTTTTCTTTGTTGTTGAACTACTCTCACCTTCATGATCTAATACAAAATAAAAAATGAATTATATATGTATAATTTATGTTTAATTTTTTACCATTAGTTTCCATTGGTTGTGATGTTGTAGCATATGCTTTACTAACTGGATGAGGATTTTGCTCAAGTTTAGTAACTAATGGTTTATCTAATTTTGGTGCAGAAGGTTTATTCTCTATGATTGGTATTTGTGTAGGAAGTTGAGGAATAGGATTAGTTGGTTCAATTGGATGAGTTGATTTTTCATTAGATGTTTGATTTTTATAAAGTAATGGTTGAGCTGAAAGCGTCGATTGTTGTGGAGGAGGAATCGAATTTTGTAATGATGGTGGTGGCGATGGAATTCGTTGAGGAATTGATGAAGCCATTTGTGACGCTCGCATTGATGATGAAGGAAAAGGTACAGATTGTTGTGGAACACGATGACGAAGTTGATGTGGTACAAAAGCAGGTCGAGGTGGTAAACGAGTTTGTGAAGGAACCGAATTATTATTATTTAATAACTGAGCCATTACACCAGGTGGTGGTGGTGGAAGAGGTGGTAAACCTGGTAGTAGTGGTGGAAACATACCAGGTGGTGGTGGACCAGGTGGCATCATAGGCATTCTTGGTGGACCAGTGACTGTATTGGTATTGGAGATCTCATTCTCAAAACTAAAATTAAAAGAAGAAATAAAATTGATATGTATAAAATGATTACTTACCGAGACATCTCAGCATCAAAATTACTCAACGACATTTTGAATATTCTTTGAGAAAAGCAATTATCGATAGTTAAATTACGAAATAATACGTAAATGTTAGATATATTTCTCTAAGATAAACAAATTTAATAAGAAAATGAATGAATTGCATTGTTTCTTCTTTTTTTCTTATAATACGCAAGTCGTATGATGATTGGAGTAATTATTATTCTATCAGAGTATTAGTTTATAGCGACATTACGAGGACGCCAGTATTCAGCATAAGAAAAGAATTTAAAACAATTAGTTATTCAATAATAGACTAGTTGATATCATTTGAATTAATAACTCTATAGCAATGATAATAGCTTTTTAGATTTTAATCAATTGATAGCATAGAACTTTTAGAGAAATAAATAAGCGTAATTAACTTAATGATATACAAATTTATTTCATAATAATCGAAACTTTTGTTTTATATGATAGAGAATAATGAAAACATTGAACGTTATGTATTATTATATCGATTTGAATGATATTGAAATTGTAAGTAAGAATTAATTTCGAATCATATAATATATGATCTTGTGAAATTACAATTTCATTTTTAAGACTCTGTTAATTTATGAATGTATTTATTGGAATTATTCATAAACATCTGTACAATATATATATTTGAAAAAGAAAGTAAACTTATCTTTTTAAATTTTCATTAATCATATTGAATAGACTATTTACACATTTGGTGCAATGTTTTGAAATAACCTTCATTTATTGACTAGATATATTTACTATTCTTAGAATAATAGTATGTCAATTATTTTATTTCAATATTCAAAGCAAAGATATTCATTTGTTAATATATGATATAACACATATATACGAAGTTTACTTATTGACTTTTTATATGATCAATAGTTTAATTTCAATACAATAAAACTATTAGTTGTATATTGTTTATCATATTTTACAAAAAAAATTATATGTAGAATTTTATGATACTAAATTCGATTGTATTTTCATATTAGTCGTTCAAATGAATTATATAAATTATTAATAGTTTTTTTGAAAAGAGAAAAACATTAGATAGAATAAAGATCAATTAATCGAATGTTCTCATATTATTCATCAACTATTATTCAGATTCTTCCTTTGATATATATATATATATATATTGTCTGTTCTTTACTTCTACTGATTGATATTATGTACTGAATCATATGTTTCATTAAAGAAAATTAATCGAAGATATGCACTGTGATAGAAATATACTCGCATTGATGAAATAAAATACTTTTATGATAAAATAGTTAAATTTAGAATTATTATTCAAATATCGATAAAAAAAAAGAATACTGTGATACTCTTCTTCATCGATACTATTTTTGATATCAAAGAAATATTGTATAGATAGCAAATAATCATCATATGAGAGAACAAATTCAAATCATTACATATATACGAAAGAAAAAGACAATGATGTTCTTGATTGAACTGATAAACAGGACAATATTATTGAATTGATAGTATTTTAACATCAGGAACATTTTCACAAGTGTTTAGTAATGATAGTGACGAAAGATTATTTTTTTTTTGTTGAAAAAGAAAACAAAATATAAGCAACAAATAATTTGATGGCAAATATGCATCCTTGCAACTCTGCTAAAGTCGATCTATCTTATGTATTCTTAAGCTCTGTCGACCTAGATAAGGCACGCTCCGCTTCGTTCTCTCCCCCTCTCTCTTGATAGTATAGCATACTGCCCGTCAGCGCCATGAGAAATCCATCACCCCCATCATCTTCATCACAATGCAAGCGCATTTGCTTCTTCGTTCTCTTTCTCTTTCTCTCTATTATACGTCTGCTGCCACTACGATTACTGCTCTGCCCGAAAAGTAAATTGCTACGTAGGCAGCAGTGGCAGAAACGATAGAAATAGTATGTATGTATGCATACATACATCGTTCTCGGCTTCGACGTTCCTTCTCTGTGCGTCGTTTATTCGCGCACACACATACATACATAGGCATCTAGCACACAATGCCTAATCTATCAATCGAGCTGTGTATATGTGTATGTGTGTGTGCGCATAGAAAGAGAAAGAGAAAGCTACGCACACACATACACAGCACACACACATATACGCCACTTGAAAAGCGCTGCGCATAGGCGCTCGTCCGTCGACGGCAAACGAGTAAGCGAAGAAAGAAAGAAAGAAGAAAGACATTAGAACGGCTACACTATTACTTTGTATACGACAACATGCAGAAGAAAGAGAGAAAGAAGAGACGTGGTAGTGCACTACTGCAGTGGTTCATAGACAGAGAGAGAATAAGAGAGTAAAAGCAAGCCAAGCAAACGCGTTTGCTTCAGTCGTAGTACAGCACATACATACATACACGTCTTTCCCCTTTTTTTTACATCGAAACTAGCGACTCGCTAGCTATTTTTATTTCGACGTCTATCGCCCTCTTCCTCTCCCGCCAAAGCCAAGTAAGCACAGTTTTCTCTTTGTTCTTCTCTAACTTGTCAATTGGGTACATACACTCTTGTCAATTTTTCAACAAACGAAATATTTCTGTTTTCTTTTAGATAAAAAGATAATTAAAAAGATCTAACTATGCCTCGTGCACCAAAACAAAAAGATCCTAATGCGCCAAAGCGACCATTATCGGCATTTTTCATTTTTTCACAAGATGAAAGACCAAAAATAAAATTAACGAATGCAACATTATCAGTAGCTGATGTTGCTAAACTTATTGGGGAAAAATGGCGTTCAGCACCAGATGAATTAAAACGTCGATATGAAAAAGCAGCTAAAGAAGCTAAAGAACGTTATGAAATCGAATTGCAAGCATATAAACAAACACGTAAAGATAAACTTATCATTATTATTCTTTAAATTAGTTTCTTTTTTTATCTTTAGCTCAATATACACAATCATTACAACAAGCAAAAGCTCGAGCTTAAAAAATTGAATTGTTGAGAATGAACATTTAGTTATTAACCTCTGTATACCTTCTTCTTCTTTGCATTATACTATCTTTCATTTTTCTTTTTTTTCCGCATTCGGTGTGTAGTATTATATCTTTATGTTTTGTTTTGTGTGTTTCTATCTATCAGATAAAAATTATGGACCATTGTTGTACAGAAAAAAAAAACTGAAAAAAATCTTTACTTATACAGACTTTTCTAAAAGCAAAAGCAAGATGCTTATTATTTTACAACTATTCTCTTGATATAGCTGTTGAGGTTTTCTTCTTGTAAGCATGTTTTTCTTGTTGTTTCAAGGTACATATATCTGTATGTGTGTGTGTGTGTCTATTTTTGCTTTTGAAAAAATAAATAAAACATATCTATCTTTTCAATAGATTGAAGCGAATATGAAAAAGAATAAGAAATAATATAAAGATTAGAGAGAGAGAGAAAAAAAACATATGAATCGAATATTTCAATTGAAATTAGTCCATCAAGATACATTACATCAGAATACATGAACGACTTGCAGCTGCGGCAACTGGTCGATGAGCACCTGTTGTTGCATAAATATTAACATTTTTTGAATTTATTAATTTTCCAACAAGAGCATCGGTTTTTTCAGGTTGTGTTGGTTGAAAATGTAATTCCTATATAAATTAACCCAAAAAAACATCTTATTACAAAATTTTCGAACAATTAAAATCTTTACTTGTTCCTTCTTTTCATTAATTCGACCTGCATAATTCTCTAATTTATCTTTCCAATTTGGTGCTGTATCTAAATAATCTTTATGCATTTTTATTGCAACCATTTGATTTTTTTCACTAAAAATAATTATGAGATAAATCATATGCAAACGAAATATATATATGTAGTTTACTTTCGATATTTATCAGCTATTTCATCTAAAGCTGCTTTATTTTTTTGAAGATATTCTTTTTCAAGTTCCGTAGTATCAATTCTTCTACAAAAGTATAAACAATTATTCATACTAACTAATACATACAAACAATATATACCCAGTTTCAAAAAGAATTCTTGTATCAACTTGTTTTTGAAGATTTTCTTCTTCCTCATGTATAAGTTTAATTAATTCATTTACATGTGCTGATATTTTATCTTTCATTAATTTATATTCTTGTATACGATTAGTTCGACTAGTATTTAATGCCTCTAAATAAATATAAAAATTATTGTTTTTAAATTAAAAAAAAATAAACAAATAATCATTACATACGTGCTACAACAGTAAGGTCATTAGTTTTATTTACTAAATTATGTATTGATTGATCAACATCCTTCTTTTGTAATTCATAATGTTGTGTTCGACAACTAGGACATAATGGTTTTTCACAATGAAAACATTTACGTAAATCAGTTATTGTTTTACATCCAGCACATTCAGCATGAATTGCTGCAGGAGAATCGTCAGTAATAGTAGAATATGAAGTACCACTATTTTAACAACAAAAAAAAATGTTTTTTTTCCTATGAAATAAATATACATATTTAAATCAATAAGATAGAATGATAGTTTATCCAGTTTAGCTGCTGAAAGTGAAGCAGCTGGCGTGGGATGTTCAGTGGCACATATTGGACAAATGATTTTTTCATTTCGTATTTCTTTTGTTAAACAATCAGTACAATATGAATGTCGACAAATTAATTCTAATGGACTGGTCAAATGTTTGTTGCAATAATGACATTGAAGAAATGAATCCATTTTTAATAATTTCAAAAAATAAAATGGAAAAGACTATATGAGAATGGCATACGTTTTAAGCTGTGGTGTTTTAGTGAGTTGCTTCGATACGAACAAGTATGCGTTTCCTTTAATTGATATTATTTTACTTCATTTATATTGTTGTCGACGTTGTCCCGAGAAACTTCTAAACATTTTTCTGTTCCGTTCATAGAAGCGAGAACGTAGTAAAAGAAATTAAGTAAAATAAGAAACATTTAGTTTTGGAATGATAATTACAAAATAATGTCTGTCACTTTATTTAGTCTTGTTTTAAATTAAGATAAGTAGTTATGAACAAAAAAAAAGGACATGAAGTTTAAAGAGTTGAAATACATTCTTTCAATAATGAAATGAAGTTAATCAATATGATGCTATCGAGTCAAAATAATTATAACTTTTCTTGTTTCACAAGTCTAACATATATTGATATCGTTTTTTTAAAGAAATAACTTTTATTGAATGATAAAGTAGTATAAAAATTTTGTAAAGATATTACTTTCATTTATTGGATGATTTTCCGTGGCGCCCTCAGTTTGTAACCATAGAAACGGAAGTATTGTTGACTTTCAATGGCAAAATCTTACATTTTAGTCTAATACAAACGAATAATTTTTTACTAAGCAATGCATGTAAGTTAATTAAAATGTTATTATAATAATCGTTTTTATATCAATTTTAGAAATCAACACCACCAAAACCTAAGATTCTTGTTTGGTATATAGAGAAAAATATATTTAAAAACAAAAAAACTATTCATCTATATTTTTTCTTATCTATAGGACTGATATTTCTCATGATCAAATGATTAAATTAGAAGAATTACATGATTCTGAAAGTATACATGAGTATGATTTTTTTTTAGAATTGATTTATTATTCGTAATCAAAATAATTCGATTTATATTTTAGATTTTTTATAAAAATTTTTGGATTTGAACGAAATACTAAACGTACAAAAATACTATGTGATTTATTTTATTATGCTTTAAATTTTGCTCGTACAAATACGTTTAATCATGAACAAACGTCAGCATTTTTAAGTATTCTTAAACAAGTTCATGATATGTCTGTCCGTATGTATATTTTCATATCTATATATTTGTTTCATTAATTTTTTTATCAATTTCAGATACACCATATGCAAATATGGAAGAAACTTATCAATATTTCAAAGCACTTATTCTAAAACATTCATTATTTGTAAATATTTTGTATTATAACAATCAAATATCCTTTTTTTATTTAATTTTCTAGAGACCACCACACCATTTACGTATATTTACACCAAATTTAACGAAAAAAATAACTGATTATATTATTGATACATATTTTCGTCATATTAAAATGTATAAATATATATTTACTCCATATGTAAGTAGTATTTGTATATAATTACAATAAGATTCATAATTTTCTTTTTCCTTAGATTGATTTTCATTTAAATTTTACTTACGAAGGGATAAAACAGCAAATATCGAAGACAGAAGGCGGAGAAGAACAACATGAAACAGAAAATATTGATACTAATAATGAACAAAGTAAATAATTATATTGAAATAAGATTTATTCAATCATTTTGTTTTAGAAAATGAAGAACCTTCTGATTTAGTTGAAGTTCGTAAATTAATTCAAACATACATGAAAGAAGAACTCCGGAAAATTGAAAATCCTACTGAAGGACGAGAACTTCAAACACCAACTGATAAGCATCGACGAATTAGATCTGGTAGTTCAAAATCTTCTTCAAAATCACGAACACCGAAATAAAACTATATTCTTCTTAATATAATCATATTAAAATATATTCAATGACTGTGAATTAGATATGGATGCAAACATATCAGGATGATTTCATAAATAATGAATCAGTATTGATTTGATTGTTAACAAGGAAATTTCATATTCATTGGAAAAGTAACACAAGGATAAATATCATCTTGATCATAAACAATCAAACCTCTGCAAAAAAAA